CCCCAAATCCCCCAAATCTCCCCCAATCCCAGTCCCCTGAGACCACCGGGAGCGGCTCCGAGGGGGCTGTTGGGGATAGGGAAGGGGAGGGGGGGTGGAGCCGGCCCGGGAGGGAGGGGCTGGCCCTAAAAAATCAAGGCACAGGGAATGGGAATGGCTGGGATGGGGAACTTTTCCTGGTGGGAAGTTCCCCCCTCCTCCTCCTCCTCCATCCCACGGGATTCCAGGGGGGTGCTGGGGGAGAAGGATCCGGCCCTGCGGAGCTCGTGGGGGCTGGAAAACGGGGTGGGAAGAGGGGGACGGACATGGGAACGTGGGGGGCACAGGCAGGAAACCCCCCATCATTCCCGCCCCCCATCCCAAACCCTGGAAGGTACCGAGAGAAAAATAAAAAAGAACGGAATGAGTGGAAGCTCAAAGACACTCGGGGGGGGGGGGGGGTGGGAAAACCCGGGGCCGGGGGGGGGGGGGGGGGGGGGGGGATGAGCCCCTGAATATCAGGGGACAGTCGTGAGGTACCTGCAGGGGATGGGGGGGACTCCCCACCCCAACTCGGCCCCGAAAAATCATTTTTTTTGGCCCCAAAAAAACGCGCCCCCCGCTAAACGTGCGTCTGCATCCGCTGCTGGAAGCGCTGCCCGTAGTCCGAGTGCTGGGAGGTGTAGGAGAAGCGGGCGGCGCTGGCGAACTTCCCCATGGCCTCGTAGGCGTCGTAGGGCCTGTCCAAGCCCGGCGGGGGGTTCCCGTAGCCCAACCGGTACGTGGTGGTGGCCGCGGCGTAACCGGGACCCGCCGGGAAGGCGGCGGCGGCGTGGCCGGCGTAGTTCTCGTAGGACAGTTGGCTGGAGGTGTCGCCGGTGGTCGCGCCGGGAGCGGGTCCGGCGGCGGCCGGGGGGGCCTCGGGGCCGTATTCGGGGCCCCCCCGGGCGTAGGTGCTGAGCTGGGCGTAGCCGCTGGAGTGGGAGAGGCGGGAGGGCGGGCGGGTGTCGTAGCGGGCCGGGCCGGGCGCGCGGTAGTCGGCGTAGAGGACGGAGCGCGAGGACGGGCGGTCCTCGTGGGCCCGGACGTTGTAGTAGCCGTTGGTGGGGTCCTGTGGAAAGGGGAGGGGGAAAGAGGGGTGTCAGGGGGTGTCCTGGTGGGGAAGGGCTCAAAGGGGTCAACCGGGTCGTGGATGGGTCTTGTGGGATCGATCGTGGAATATCCTGGTTGGGAGGGACCCAGGCCATGGATGGATCTCGTGGGATCAATTGTGGAATGTCCTGGCTGGGAGGGACCCAAAGGGGTCAACCGGGTCGTGGATGGGTCTTGTGGGATCAATTGTGGAATGTCCTGGTTGGGAGGGACTCAAAGGGGTCACCCAGGCAGTAGATGGACTTGATGGGATTGATGGGACGGCCTGGGAGCTGCCATCTCATGGAATCAATCATGGAATTCCTGGTGGGGAGGGACTCAAAGGGGTCAACCGGGTCGTGGATGGGTCTCGTGGGATCGATCGTGGAATGTCCTGGTTGGGAGAGACCCAGGCCATGGATGGATCTCATAGAATCAATTGTGGAATGTCCTGGTGGGGAGGGACCCAAAGGGGTCAACCGGGCCGTGGATGGATCTCGTGGGATCAATCGTGGAATGTCCTGGTTGGGAGGGACCCAGGCCATGGATGGATCTCATGGAATCAGTCGTGGAATGTCCTGGTTGGGAGGGACCCAAAGGGGTCAACCAGGCCATGGATGGACCTGATGGGATTGAGTCCATGGATGGAATTGGTGGGACTGAGTCCAGGGGTGGAATTGATGGGATTGAGTCTATGGATGGACCTGATGGGATTGAGTCCATGGATGGACTGGATGGGATTGAGTCCATGCATGGAATTGGTGGGATTGAGTCCATGGATGGACCTGATGGGATGGAGTGGGAGGACCTGGGACGAGTGGGATGCCTGGGAAGCAAGGCTGAAGCAGGAGCTTCCCTTCCTCTCCAGGCTGAGCAGACCAAGCCACCCTCCTCCTCCTCCTCCACCCAGTTTGGGACAGAACTGGGACCTGCCCCTCTCCTTCTGTCCCCCCCAGAGCTGACCTTGAGCTCGTACTCCTCGCGGGTGTCGATGGTGTCGCAGCGAAGGTCCTGCTTCAAGTCCACGTCGTCCTTGAACGACTGCGGGAGAGGGGGGAGAATTAAGGGATCATGGAATGGTTTGGGTTGGAAGGACCTTGAATATCACCTCGTTCCACCCCCCTGCCATGGGCAGGGACACCTCCCATGGGCAGGGACACCTCCCATGGGCAGGGACACCTCTCATGGGCAGGGACACCTCTCATGGGCAGGGACACCTTCCATGGGCAGGATGGTTTGGGTTGGAAGGACCTTAAAGATCACCTCGTTTCACCCCCCCAGGGACACCTCCCTCTATTCCCAGGTTGCTCCAAGCCCCGTCCAGCCCGGCCTTGGATGCTCCCAGGGATCCAGGGGCAGCCACAGCTTCTCTGGGCAACCCGTGCCATGCCCTCACTTCCTCCTAAAATCCCATCTAACCCTCCTCTCCCTCAGTCTGAGCCCGTTCCCCCTTTTGTCCCGTCGCTCCAAGCTCCTGCCACGAGTCCCTCTCCGCGTTTCTTGGCTCCCTCAGCTCAGAAGGCCGAGCTGGGAGGGACCAGCTGGGTGTGGGGTGGGCTCTTTGGGGTGTCCCTCACCGAGTAGATGGCCTTCATGACCCGGGTGGCCGTGGACACGCTGGCCGTGTCCTCCTCCCTGTCCGCGTGCAGCGTCAGCGGCTCCCGGTTCACCGTCTCCACCTTGATGTCCAACTTCCGCAGGGTCACGTCCTTGCGGCCTTTTTGGGGGGGGACACGGAGGCATGGAGGGGACCCCGGGGGTCACACCCTCCATGGTGACACCCTTGGTGCCCTCTGATGTGGTTCAGGACCCCCAGGACCCCCTCACTCACTCCCTTTGCGGCGCCGGTAGAGGAAGCAGGTGAGCGCCACGAGGAAGGTGACGAGGAGGATGCTGGCGCCGATGGTGGCACCCGCGATGATGCCCACGGGCAGAACCTCTGTGGGGGACAGAGGGGGTGTTATCTGGGGGCCCTGGAACCGCCAGGACGGGACCAGGACTCTCCAAAGCTCTGCCACACCCCAGAGAGGCCTCGCGGGGCTCTCCAGTGGTCCCACGGTGGTCTCTTGGTCATCCCACCTTTCTCCTCCAGCTGGATGATGGCGGTGCCCGGCCCGAAGCTGTTCCAGGCCGTGCAGTTGTAGCGGGTCTGGAAGTCGGCGTCCATGACGTTGTTGATGGTGAGGGTGGACAGGACCCCGCTGCCCGTGTTCGTCCTCTCCACCGTGTACCGCTCCAGCGTGCCCGCCTCCAGGATGTTCTCCTTCCACGCCCACGCCTTGGGGAGGGGATGGGGGGGCACAACGGGGATGGGTGAGCCCCTGGAAGGCCCTGGGACCCCCTCCCCGGGGTGTTGGTGGCACTCACGATGCGGTCCGGGGGCGGGGTGCTGCCGATGAAACACTCGACCTTGCCGCGGTCGCCGCGCACGGCGTACTGCACCGCCTCGCTCGAGATGATGGGGGGCCCTACAGGGGGGATAAAATGACATTAACAACCCCAATTGGGGCCTGTCCTGCCCGGGAAGGGGCTGGGGGAGCGACCCCAGCTCAGGAACCTTCGGGATGTTTCGGTGTGTCCGGCTGAGAAGGGCGGTGACGGAGCGGCTTTGGGGGGTTCCCGCTCCACCCACCGCAGGGAGCTTGACCCAACAACCCCCAGGAGGTGTTTGGGGGGCACAAGGGGGGCGGTTCTTGGTCCTGTGGGGGTCACTCACCGTTGACAAAGAGCGTGACCTCCCTCTCTCCCACCCCGATGCGGGGCACGATGGCTTTGCAGACGTACTGCCCCGCGTCCGCCTGCGTCACCGACTTGAGGTACAGCTGGTTGCTGTTGCTCAGGACCTGGGTGCGAGTTTTAGGGGGTCACCACAGAGGGGTCACGGGGCTCCCTGGACCCCCCCCCAACATCTCAGCTCGTGGGGCCCTACCATGTTGGACTCCTTCTTGGTCCAGGTGAGGGTCAGCGGGGGGTTTCCCGACCACACGCACGTCAGCGTCACGTCGGAGCCGATGTCGGTCACCGTGGGCTTGGGGTCCACCACGATGCGAGGGGCGACTGGGGGGAGAAGGAATTGAGGAGCAGAGCCGAGGGGGGAGGGATTTTGGGGAGCGGGGACAGGGGGGCTGCCCCCCCCCAACTCACAGTGCACGTCCACCAGCGTGCTGACGTTGGTGCTGCCGATGTCGTTGTGCACCTCGCAGGACACGGGCTCCGTGAAGAAGGTGTAGTCCACCTGCGTGTCGTACCTGTTCTCCTTGGCGTCCTCGATGATCACCCCGCCCTTGGCCCACCTGGGTGGGGGCACATGGGCACGATCAGGGGCCCTGTTTGACCCCTTCCCACCTCCCGGCAGATCCAGGACCCACCAGGACCTTCAGGGGCCCTGTTAGACCCCTTCCCACCTCCTGGCAGATCCAGGACCTGCCAGGACCTACGAGAACCTTCAGGGGTCCTGTTCAATCCCTTCCCACCTCCCAGCAGATCCAGGACCCACCAGATCCCACGAGGACCTTCAGGAGTCCTGTTTGACCCCTTCCCACCTCCCAACCCACCAGGACCTACAAGAACCTTCAGGGGTCCTGTTCGACCCCTTCCCACCTCCTGGCAGATCCAGGACCCGCCAGGACCTAGGAGGACCTTCAGGGGCCAGGGGGACTCTCACCTGTAGCCTTTGATCTCGGGGTTGGCGGTGGCCAGGCAGGTGAACACGACCCTCTCGCCCTCCTGCACCGTCTGGGGCTGGATGGACAAGGTGACGGTCGGGGGATCTGTGGGGGAGGGAGGACGGAGCCATCACAGGCAAGGACAGGGGCTCAGGGTGGCTCAGGGTGGCCCAGGGGGTGCCCAAAGCGCTGGTGATCCATGTGGGCATCCAGCACCCCTGTCTGCCCTGTGGTGGGCACCCTAAATCCCTTCCCGGTGTGGGCACCCAGCGTCCCCTGCCTGCGTGGGCATCCAGGATTCCCCCTGGCACGGGCACCCACCATCCCTGGAATGGGTACCCACCATTCCTGGGGTGGGCACCCACCATCCCTGGAATGGGTACCCACCTCCCCTGCCCATCCCTCCCTGCATCCCTCCCTCGTGGCGCTTCAGCGGGGTCGGTGCAGCGGGGCTGAGCCTTCCCCCGGCAGCCACTGGAGGTCTGTGTTCACCACTGGAGCTCCATGTGCAACACCGGAGCTCCATATCCACCACCGGAGGTCAGTGTTCACCACCGGAGCTCCGTATTCACCATCTGAACTCCATATCCACCACCGGAGCTCGGTATCCACCACCAGAGGTCAGTGTCCACCATCAGAGCTTGGTATTCGCCACTGGAGCTGCACATTCACCACCGGAGCTCCATATCCACCACCGGAGGTCAGTGTCCACCACCGGAGCTCCGTATCAGCCTCCGGAGCTCGGTATTCACCACCACAGCTCCACATTCACCATCGGAGGTCAGTGTCCACTGCCGGAGCTCCATATCCAACACCAGAGTTCCACCTTCACCACCGGAGGTCAGTGTTCACAACCGGAGCTCCATATCCACCGCCGGAGCTTGATATCCACCACTGGAGCTCCACATCCACCATCAGAGCTCCATATCCACCACCGGAGGTCAGTGTCCACCGCCGGAGCTCCATATCCAACACCAGAGCTCCATATCCACCCCCAGAGCTCCATATCCACCACCGGAGCTCCACATCCACCCCCAGAGCTCCATATCCACCACCGGAGCTCCACATCCACCACCGGAGCTCCATATCCACCCCCTGAATCCCAGCCCAGCCTCCTCCTCCCGCCTCCCTCCACCAGGACCCGGCAAATCCCCCGCAGGCACATCCCACATCCCCCCGGGATTCCAAACACCCCAAAACCTCCCGCGTGTCTCCCTCCCGACTCACGGTGGACGTTGAGCTTGACGAAGGTCTCCTTGCCGGCCGGGATGGCCTCGTTGGAGCTGCGGCAGGAGAAGACCCTCCCGATGTCCAGGTCGGTGGGGTTGATGGCCAGCAGGCTGGTGGTCGTCTCCCTCTTGCCGTCGGCCAGCACCTCCTGGGGGGGACATGGGATGGTCGTTGCCGGCTCTGGGGACGCCCCAAGGGGTGGGCACGGGGCAGGGGGTGTCCCCATACCGTGGTGGTGACCCCATAGCGTGGTGGTGATCCCATACCATGGTGGTGACCCCATACCCTGGTGGTGACCCCATACCGTGGTGGTGACCCCATCCCGTGGTGGTGACCCCATACACCATGGTGGTGACCCCATCCCGTGGTGGTGACCCCATACCCTGGTGGTGACCCCATACCCTGGTGGTGACCGCATACACCATGGTGGTGACCCCATACCCTGGTGGTGACCCCATCCCGTGGTGGTGACCCCATCCCGTGGTGGTGACCCCATACCCTGGTGGTGACCCCATCCCGTGGTGGTGACCCCATACTGTGGTGGTGACCCCATACACCATGGTGGTGACCCCATTACCGTGGTGGTGACGGCTCCATCCTGCTGGAGCCCGTCCCGGAACCACACGATGGTGGCGGCGGGTTTGGCGCTGCGGGCCCGGCACGTCAGGTTGTAGGGGGTCCCCGCCCTCAGCAGGATCTCGGGGGCTCCGTCGATCGTGGGGTCCTCGGGGGGGACTGCGGAGGGGCACAGGGGGACGCCGGGTGGGTGCTGGATCCCCGCCCGTGGCCCCAAAAACGGGTGGATGCTGGAAAATTCCATGCTGGAAAATTGACGGTGCTCCGATGGAGGGAAGGGGGATCAGGGGCAGGGTTGGGATGGCCAGTGGAGATGAGGGTTGATCCTCTTGTGGAGCCAGAGCTGAAGCCAAAGCTCCTGGCTTGGAGAATCACCCAATTCCAGAGTGGGAAGGGACCCACGAGGAGCACCCAGTGCAGCTCCTGGCCCTGCACAGGACGCTCCAACAATCCCTCCCTGGCCCTGAGAACGTTGTCCAAATGCTCCTGGGGGACATGGGGGGACACAGGGGATGGTGAGGGGACACGGGGGGCTGTGGGGGA